TAAAAAATAAATTCTTTTAATAATTATAGTTAACAAAAGTAAAAAAATGCATGATTTCATTTATAGATTAAAAAATCTACCCATTATTTAAAATAAAAATTAAATTTTGAATGTAAATACTCTGCGAGTTAAAATAAACAAATTTTACTTTTTTAAACTAAACCTATTTTTTAAAAATATAAAATAAATCAATGAAAATGCTATTTTAGCGAAAAGAAATTAAATGCTTTAATTTATAAAAAATGTTTTAATAATATATTTTATATTTATTTTTATTATTTATTATATAGACTAATCGATAATTGAAATAAATTTTCTTTTTATGGCATGATAAAATTTAAACTTAAAAAGAAGAATAAAAATATAAATTAACCTTATCATTTATGAAAAGTTTAAACGATATATTATAAATAAACATATTCTAAGAAGATAAAGATTTTAGAAAAAATAATTTTATATTAATTAATTAATGAATAATTTAAAATAACAAAAATAGTTAGCCTTTTAAAAATTGAAATAGAATGTATAGGAATAAAAATTATAAATGTAAAGACTTTTAGCAGATTTAAATTATATTTCTTATAAATTTTTGGCTAATAAAATAATTTTCACTCTAAATTAATTTAAGAACAATGGAAAGTATTAAAAAAGCTTTAAAAAGCTATTTAAACTATTAAATAATTTAGCAAATAAAAATAAAAAATATTTTTTTTAAAATATATAAAAAATTCCATTTAATAATAAATTAGTAGATAAAGCTAATTAATTTGAAAAAAAATTAGAATTATTATTACTTAAGCGTTTAAATAAAACTTATTTATAAATTTTTAAAAAAGACTTTATCAATAACTAATAAAATAAATCAAATTAATTATTTTAGATACTCATAAAACATAACAATAACAAATAAGTAATAACTTTAAATTATTTTTAATATATTTTCCTTATTTTATTTTACTTAGTATGCGTTTTAATAAATAATTGATTTTGTAAAGAACTAAAAATATCAAAAATAAACTAAAAAAATAATAGATTTTTTCCATATAATTTAATAAAAAGCTGAAAAGGATTTCTTTATAATATTTTAAAAAGAAAAAATCATACAATAAAAAGCTTTTATTATAAATAATTTATTAGAGAATTAAAAACTAAATATTTCTAAATCCTTTTCCATTTGGAAATTAAATACTAATTTTTATGCTATAAAAGGATTCGATTAAAAAAAAAATATTATAGATTTAAAAAATTATATAAATTTGAATAAAATACAAAGCTTAAAATCAGTTCTTATCAAATTTAACTAAAATATGAAACAAGAAAAAAAAAAGGAAAACTTTTTAATTAAATTTATAAAAATAGAATTTATTCAATAATTATATTATTATAGAAAGTAATATTTTATAATTTAAATTTTCAAAAAATATTAATCAAAATTTATATAAGTGGAAAGCACTCCCTAAAGGTTAAGAATTTATAGAAAAAGTGAAAAAAAGATCTAAATTTTGTGGAAATTTTGAAAGAGTATTAAAATTAAGGCCAAAGTGTTTTTCTAATATATTGAAAGAATATTATTTTAAAGGTGAATAGATAAAAAAATAAGCAATTAATTTATTAATTTAAGCTTAATTAAATAGATAACATTAATATTACATTAAATGGAAGAAAGTAATAACTTTATAAATATATTAATAATTTTTATTATATAGATATGTTTCGTAGACAAGAATAAAAAATTAGTTTTTAAGTTTTTAAATTTATTAAATAAATTAATTAAAAATTGTTAATAATATAAAATTGCTTAAAGAATAATCATAATAAAATATAAAATTAAAGCAATTAATAATGTTAAAAATTATTTAAAATAATTAAATAAAATAAAAAGCTTATTTAAATAAATGGAAAGTAATAACTCAAAAATTATCTAAACTATTAAATGAAAATATTAATTAATTACATATCCTTCCTAAAATATTGAAATAACTATTTTTAAATTAAATAAATTATTCATATAACAAATTAAAACTACATTACGAAGTTCAATAAACTAAAGTTTATTCTAACTCATTATGGAAATGGAAACTATTTAATATTGAAAGTAGATATAATGATAAATATTAAAAATAAAGTTTAAAAATAACAGCTTTATAAAAGCTTTTTCAAATATTAAATAAGAAAATAAATAAATATTATTCAGAACTTATTTTAAAACTTAAAATTAAAAAATTTGGAATTTTAAATAAAGTTTTAATTGCATTTAGTAATAATTAAAGATTAAAATAAGCTCACTATTTTAATGAATGGAGAAAAATATAATAAAATTCTTAACTTTAAGAGTAAAAATAATACTAAAAAAATGCATGTGGTGCTAATAATCTGTTTAAATCATTATTTTAAAAAAGAAATGATATTCTTTTTTATGTTTTTTAAAAGTTGAAGCAGGTTCATAAATATAAAAAAAGTTAATAGAGGAATAATTTATTATATAGATTTTCTTAAATCCTTATTAAAAACTTAAGGAGTTCATTTGAAAGAATCAAATTTTAGATTTAAAGTTAGAAATAATTGAAATTATTTAATTTAGTAAATATATTAGAATAAAAGAAATTATTAAATTTAAAAAAATCTTTTAATCATTTAAACAACTATAAGTATTGCTAATAAAACTATTTTTATAAGCTTAAAAATATGACGGAAATTTTAAATAGATAATGTTTAGAAGAACCATTTAAATAAATAATAAAATATTAAAATAATAGTAATGGAATAATAAATAGAAAAGGAATACCTTTATTAATGGTTTTATTAAATAAATAAAGATTTTTGATTTCGAATTCTTTTTAAAAATTAAAACAATATGAAATAAAATTTAAAAGGTTCATAAAAATTCTAGAAAAAATGTTAAATTAATAATACAACCAGTCTTTTCGTTTAATTTTAGCTTATTCATAAAACCAAAAAATCCTTTAGAAATTCTAAAGTTGTTTAAAAATAAAGTTTTTATCATCAAAATTAGAAAAAAAGTTAAATAAAAATATATAGATATATGGTAATAATCATTATTTTAAAAATCTGAAAATGAATGGGAATATAAAGCTGCAGACTTGATTTAAAAATTGGCTTCTACTAATATATATACTGCTCTAATGTGCCTAAAGTAATATGCTACTAAAAATAAAAAAGCATAATTAATAATAATAATCAAAGTAATAAAATCGAAAAATTATAAATATCAAAAACGTAAATAACCAGAAACCTTGATGCAAAGAGATTTGTTAAAATTAGTAAGTTTTTAAATTTACTTACAAAATTAAAAGAAAGAGTATTTTTATAAACATGGTTTTTAATTTAAGAGCATGTTAAACAGAAATAAATTTTTAAAAGAAAAGATCAGAAAATAAAAGTTCTTTAATAATCGAATTTTAAATAAAATGAATCAAAAAAAACTTATCAAAAGGTAAAATATATATAATTAATCAATTAAAAAATTTATTTTTATAAAGAATATTTTATGCTATTTTTTATTTCGACTATATCAAAAAAAAATATAAAATGTATTTAGGATTATGAAATAGGTTTAATTTAAAAATTAAAATTATTAAAAAGAAAATTCGCTTTTATTTTCTAATATAATAAATAATATAATAATAAAAAAATGTATTAGTTCATTTAATAAATTAAAATACAAATAAAATTAGAATATTTAATAAAATTAAAAATATTATTAAAAATGGAATATTTAATAAAATATTGAATCAGATGTTGAAAACGTTAAGAAAACTAAAAGAAATTAAAATAATAATAAATAAAAATATATTAAAATTTTTGTATAAATAATTAATAATATTTTCAGTAGATTTCTAAAACAATAGTAATTAATTGCTTTCAATTAAATTAATAATTTCAGATAAATATTGTATATATAAAAATCTATTTAAACTAAAGATGAATATTAATATGAAGAAGCATATCGATCTGTTATAATTTTAAATAAATAAATAAGTCAAAATATAGGAATGACAAGGATATTTAAAAAAATTGAATAAAAATATTTAAACAGAATTCAAATTGGATTTTAACTTTTATATTAATATTAAAGTTGATATAAATATATATTTATAATTTATATATAAAAAACTAATTCTTAATTATTTTAAGAGTTATATATAGTATAAAAATAATAAGGAAATATTATGTTAAAAAAAAATGTTTCTTTAATTTTCATTTAAAAATTTATAATATACATAAATTTTATGTAAAAAATAATATTTATTAAATTTATAAAATTATTTTTATTTTTTATTTCGAAGAAAAATTATTTAATTTTTCTATTTATATTTTAGACTAAATTTTTTTATATAAATAATATAAAATAAACATTTTTTAATAAATATATTAAAATATATTAAATAAAAAAGACAATTTAATTATTAATTTTTAATTAAATGGTCTGGATATTGATTTTTTTATATAAAATAATGGGAATCCTGTTAAAAACAATAAAAAAAAAAGTTATATTCTAAAATTATGAAGTTATTGTTTGTAATATGAAAGAAAAATTATAAGTTTAAAATAAATACTTAATGATAAAACTGATTAAAATACTATTAATGTTATCTGAAACTATCTTTTAATAAAGATTTTTAGTTTTTACATGTAAAAAGTTTAAGCTTTTACTTTATCTTCTATTAAAGAATAAAAAAAAAGGAAAAAATGGCTTAAATTTTTTAAATTAATTATTTAATTAATTCATAAAATATAAAAAATATTTTTTTATTTGTAATTTTAATTAATTTATTTCTATTTTTTTTATTTTTTCTTACATAAATAAAAATATATATATTTTTATATAATAAAGTTATATATAAAAAAAAATACTTTTATTGGTAAAAAATTAAATTAAAATATAAAATTAATAATTATTTACACGTATTTAATATTTTATTATAACATAAAGCATTAAAAATATTAATTTTTTTTTTTTTCTATAAAAATAATATTTAATGGATTCATAAATTGCTGTATAAATACCTACAATATTACCAAAACAATCTATTTCTTGTAATAATCAAATTTATTAATATTTTTTAAAAAAATAAAAGTAAATTTCATGCCTTTAAATGAAATGTATAAAATTACAACGAAATCAGATAATAATTGGGGAATAGCAGGATATTAAGTACCAAAAAGATATTTCGATCATATAAAAACAATCCAAGATAGAATATTTGAGGAGATGAGAGTAAAAGGTAAATTTGAAAAAAGTATGAAAAAAGTAACAAAAAGAGGTTGCTATTTAGATGATGAATTTAAATTACATAAAATTACACCTGGTCCTCAAAAATATGATGTAAGTTATAAATGGAGTAATCCTGCAGAAATAGAAAGTGGAAAAAAAAACCTAAAGATACAAAGAAAAATACTTATATTGATGAAATAATAAATAATTCAAAACGAAATATAATTCCAGGAATAGGAAAATATAATTTGATGAAAACAGATGAGGAAATAAAAAAATAAATATAAAATATGCAAAAAAAAATAAAGTAAAATTTATTATTGTTTTTATTAGTATATAATTAATATTGTTTTTATATTTTTTTTTTTAATAAATTCAATTAGACCTTCGCCAAGAGGAAATTATTTAAATGATTGTGAATATATAGGAGATCTTTTACCAGGTCCTGGAAATTATAATCCAAGAGTAAATTAATTATTTTATTATTGGAAAAAAATAAAAAAATAAAATAGCCTATTCTTCCTAAAATAAAAATTAATAATACAAAACCAGAATAATGGAGATAAAAACATAAAGAATTAGAATAAAAAAAATAGAAAAAATATAATACCCCTGATATGGGAACTTATAAATATAATTATCCGTCTACTTATGATACTTTTGGGAAAATTTATTAAAAACTTTAAGATTCTGGTGGAAAATTAACAAAAAGTGCAGTAAATTATTTAGGAAAGACAGAAAGGTTTAAAGATATTAGTAAAAGCAAATCCAAATAAATTACTAATGCACCTGGACCTGGTCATTATCCATTAATTGCTTAATGGCCTGGTATTTTTTATTTAAAATAATAATATAAATTTTATGTATATTTTATTATTTATTAGGAAAAGAATCAAAGAAGGAGTAATTTAATTATTTAGAGAAAATATCAAAAGGAATTGAGAAATCTATATACTATGAAAACTCATGAAAATAAAAAAATATACATATTTTATATTATATATTAAAAATTTACATTTTTATTTAATAATAAAAATAAATTTTAATTATTTTTCTAAAAAAATATTAAAAAAATAAAAAATATTAAATTTTATTATATTTAAAATAAAAAAATAAAATGATTTATGTATTAAACATATTTTTTTTGTTTAAATAAATTTTAATTTTAGAAAATTAAAAGTTTTTGTACCGTCTTAAATTACTTTTCTCTTTTATTTTATAATTTATTTCTTTTTATTCTGTAATTTCTTTTATTTTATTCTAGAACTTATTCTTTTTATTATATATTTTTTTATTATTATATGTCTTTTTCTTTTTCTTTTTATTTTTATTTTTATTTCTAAAACTTTTACTTTTTATTATGTATATTCTTTTTATTCCTCTTTTTATTCTAAAACTTATTATTTTTATTTTTAAACAATTATATATATTATTAAATTTATTTTTCTTTTAAATAATGCGCTAATTATTCATATTTCGTGTTAAAATTATTCTTCATTAATTTTTACGGGATAAGTTTCATCTTAGGCTTTTAAAAGTTCTTCTAGAATTTGAATTTCTTATTGATTTTGTAATTTCATCAACAATACTTATATTTAAAAATAAGAAGATTATTTTTTAATATTTTATCTTTAATAATATTTATTCAGTTTATTGTTTATAATCAGTAAAAAGTTTCCTATTTTTATTTATTTATTATTGCTTTTTTTTATTTAATTTTATTTTTTTGTTATTTTAACTATTTTTTTAAAATTATAATATAAAAATATATAAATTTAAATTTCATTATTTAAGATTCATTCTTTATTATTAGATAAATTTTATATTTTTTTATATAATTAATTTTTTTAAATATAATAATTTTATTTTATTAATTAAGTATATTTTATCTTTTATATTTAGCTTAATATAAGTTTAGTAATATTAAAATAAATAAATAAAACTTATTTTTTTTAAATATATTGAAAAAAAAAAAAATTAAAAATTATTTATATATTCAACTATATTAATTAAAATAAAATATATATATATATATATATATTTATATTTTTACATATTAAGTATTATAATAATTAATAACAAAAATAAATAATTAATTTCTTATGATAATAATCAACATCCGAAAATTAAAAAAAAAAAAAAAAAATTAAATAAAAACATAAAATATTACAATATAATGTATAAAAAAAATGCGAAAACATAAAAATAATAAATATCATTTAGTTTCAAAAGCTGACCCAATAAAATAAGAAGCAGAGGCAGCTGTAATTCCAACAAATAATGTTTCTAATCCACTTTTAAACCAAGATTAATAGGTAAACATAGATTTAACTATTCCAAGTATACACAAAAAATTAGAAGTAAGAATAGTAGATATCAAAAATGCCCAACCTTAAATTTCAAAAGCAAATCCAAAAATAAAAGGTAATAAAGGAACAGAACCGAAAATAACAAAAGAAACAAATGTAACAATTGCATTATAGATAGGATTTTCATCATTAGGTAGAATTCCTAGTTCATCTACCATCATTGTATCAATCCATACTTTTTTATATTTAGAAAGAATATCTACAAGTGCCTTTGAGTCGGCATAAGTTATTCCTTTTTTTTAATAAACTTCAATCATTTCTTCCTTTTCGCCTTCTGGGTTATTATCTACTTCCCACTCTTCCCTCATACGTTCTTTTTTATAAAAATCACATTCACTTTTTGATGATAAATAGTCTCCTAAAGCCATACTTAAACCATCTCCAATTAAATTTGCTATTCCAAGAGCTAAAATTACTCCAGATTATAAATTTGCACCTGCTACTCCCATAACAACTGAATATGTTGTTATCATCCCGTCTAAACCTCCATAGACTGCACTTTTTATAAATATTCCAGACTCATTATGGTCTTCTTATGGAATTATAGATTGCTTAGAATGAGCATTTTTAGAAAAATCTAAGTCTTTTTTTTCATATGCTTATCGTGCTTATTATAAATTTCTTACTTGCATTTAATATTTATTTATTAAAAAAAAAACTCTTAATTCAAATTATTTTTTAAAAATATTTAAATTAAAATATATATATTAAAGATTTATTATAAAAAAATAATAATTTTTGATATTATTAAATTTTTTTTAAAAATATATTATTATTAGAATAACTTGTGTAATGAGACACATCTGTTTATTACAAAAAATTAAATTAAAATTCTTATTTAATAGATAATAGAAAAAATAAATAAATTATAATAAAAGTATTAAAAAAAAAAATTAAAATTTAAATAATATAATAATATATATTTTCATTATAATTTATATAAATATTAATAATTAAAAAATAAAGTATTTATAATAAATATAAAAATAATAATAATTAAAATAATAATAATAATAATAATAATAATAATAATAATATTAATAATAATAATTAAAATATAAAGTGTATTATTTTAAATAATATTAACAATTATTCTCTATCTTAATATAATTATTATTATATTATTATTATTTGAATTTTATTTATATGAATTTTTTTGAAATATTATTTTTATAAATTTATATAATAAATAAAAATATATATTTTAAATTGTTTGATATTAATAAATTTATATTATTAAAAAATAAAAATTTTAACATATTTATTTTTAAATAACAAAATATTCATAATATATTTAAAAAAAAAAAAAATATTTTATAATAATATAAAAAATTTAATATATTTTTTACAATATTTATACATTATTATAAATATAATATATATATATATATATATATATATTTAATTATATATTTTATATAATATCATTTTTTTTTATTCTTATTGTTTAAATTGTTTTTTTTCATATAAATATTACATATAAATAAAGTTTTATTTTAGTAATTTTTTATAATCATATATTAGTTGCCTTTGTGAGTACTTCTTCAAATTATTCCTTAGTAACAACTCCTTCTCTGTTAAATTTTATTTTAAAAATTACTTAATATAAAAATAAAATGTTTAACTTATTTGATTTATTAGCTTCTAATATCATTAATTTAAGTTCATCATCAGTCATTGTTTCTCCTAATTCTATCGCAATTTTCTTTAAACTTTCAAACGAAATTAAACCTGTTTTATCCATATCAAATAAATTAAATGCCCTTTCAATTTCTTCTTATGACTCTTTTTCATTCTTTATTTTTTTTTATATTATTTAGTAATTTTTTAAATATATAACCATTTTTGCTGTCATTATTTATAAAAATTCTGTATAATCAATAGTATTTGTATTACTGTCTTTATCTTTTTATTCTCCACTATTTAAGTTTTGAACTAAATTTTTTATTTCTTCTTTTTTAGGTTCAAATCCAAGTGCTCTTAAAGCAACATTTAATTCTTTTATATCGATAGTACCTTTATTTTTTTTGGATATTTTATTCAAAATAATTTTATTTATATGTTTTTACCAGATCCATCGACATCAAATAAATCAAATGCTTCTTTAATATCTTTTTTTTATTTTTCTGTTAATTCTTGACGGAAGGATTCTTTATTTTTTAATTTTTTTGATGTCTTTCCTTTTGCGTCTTTTCCCTTTTTTAATTTATTTATTAATATTTTTTATAATATATATATATATTAAAACTTTTTGCAATGAACTCATTATTTATTTTTTCTTCTTTTTTTTTATTTTTTAAATTGTAATTTTTTATTTTTAAAAAATAAAAATAATAATAAAAAATATAAACTAAAATTACTTTATATTTTAATTTGAAATAAAAATATATATTTTTAATATTATTAATATAAAAATAATTCAATGTCTGCATAATTTATAATAATTTTATAATATTTATAAATAAATATAAATTATTTAAAATGTTTAAATCAATTATAAGTTTTCAAATTTAATATATTAAGAATTTAATAAAATTATATTAAAATATTATATGTTTTTCATTTGTATTAATTATTTTATATTTTTTTAAGATATTTAACAATATTTTAAATAAAAAATTAACTATAAAATATTTATAACATATTCTTATTATGTTATTCAAATTTGTTAATAATTTTGCAATTAAGTATAAAATTAGTGTGAATAAAAATTATTTTCAAATGATATAAATTAAAAATGAACTTATATATTACAATTAAATTAACTGTATTAAATATATAATTTTAATTATTTTAATAATTACTTTTTTTAACTAAACTATTTATATATTATTGAATATTCTTTTATTAAGTAAGCTATAATCAAATTTTTATTAATACATATAAATTATTTATTTAATAAGTAATTTCTATTTATTAATAAAAGTAATTTTAAAATTCTTTTAATAAAAAAATAACTTATAAAAAAATAAAAAAAATTATTATTAATGTTTATAAAAAATAATTAAATTAAATTTAATTTTATTAAAAAAAAAAATTTGATGAAAAAGAGATTTAAAAATTCTATTAAACAAAATATATATATAATTAAAAAAATTATATATTAATTCTAAAAAGTAAAAAAAAAAAATTATATTTATTCAAAAAATAATTATAATAATTTAAAATTAATTATAAATTAATCATAAAAGTTTAATTATTATGTAAAATAAAAATATTATATTATAATAAAAATAAAATAAAAAAGAAATATAAAATTATAAATAAATATAAATATAAGCA